GACCGTTGGACCAGAGCGGTTACCGACTGGATCCCTCGGGACGTCAAACGAACACCTGGACGACCGCCGGCCCGATGGTCAGACTTCTTCACGAAAGCTCTGAACGAAAGGAATGAAGGACTTCGTGTCCCTCGAGCGAGGAGGGTCCACTGGACAACTCTTGCACGCGACAGGGACGAATGGAGACGTTGCTGGCGCCCGCTCGAGCAATTCGATGATCAACGGGACGACAGGTGATACAGGTGATGGAGTAATAGCAAGCCACGGGCTGTGCTGAGGAAGCAATGTGGAGTAAATATACGACGTAGTAGAGGGATCATTGCCGAAGAATTAGGACTAGTAGGATTTCAAAAGCGGTCCACTCGACAGAGGGTTTATTAGAGGTGAGGGGCGGTAATTTCGCGTTTTACAATATTGAAGTGAAAGTACAAATGTAGTAAGTAAGCGATTAAATTTCTGCAATAAACACTGCATGAGGAATACAATTTCATGAGTACAGTATACGCGAGTACAGTATTGCGGAATACAACAAAATGGAATATTGCTGTGTAAATTGTGGGGAATAAATGTTACAAAGGATGATGTAAAGGAGACTTAGGAAAGTGTATTGTTAAATTGTATTAGGTTGTCCCATAATTAGTGAATCACTTTGGGTATTTTTGAATTCAATTTTTTTCTTTTTATTCGAAGTCTTTGCTCATCCAAACATACACCTCTGTCATCTACAATGTATTGCCTATTCATGGGAATTTATTCGCTGTCTTTCCTCTGAAATTGCAGGAGCTCTTGAACGAAGAAGGACTGGAAGTCGGGTTTGAGGTCATGTCACTTAGCGTAAAATTTCTTCCTGGAAGAAGAGCGCTAGAGCTCAGACTGAGTTGTCTTGTTGGCACGAGGATAGGCTACACAAGGAAGTGAAAGAACTGCTAGCCTGAGAGTCTCCAATTTTTTATGAATAATCTACCCAAGGTGGGTCGAACGACCTCAGAAAAAAGCCGACTTTGTCTTGCTTTGCTTTCAAATTGAACACGTTGCCACTGTGCTGTCCACGTTTGCCTTCTTCACTGACCCTAGTATTACTGGGCGGCGGTTCCCAGCGCAAGGTTCCTTTCGTGTTTCACCAACATTTCAGAAGTGTCGAACTTAGAGGAAGTTGGGCTTTTGCTGTCAGAACTCCCGAATCGTTTGAGCTAGGCTACTGCTCCTGGTGGATTTGCTAGCACACTCCACCCAGTCACAGAACTGGTGAATATGCAGGATGATCACTGAAAGGAACCCTAGGAAATCAAAAGGAACATGATGATATCAGATCGTGTTCGAAATTCTGTGGAGGTAAACCTGAAATAAAGGAGAACCAATTAGTGTTCGAGCCTTTGTCGCTTCTGCGGCGGCCCTTGCTTTGACCGCTCGGTGCAGAGAATAGCATGATGAGTTCCTCCGCAACCACGACATTTGTTCGAGCATTGGCCATGAGCGGGAGCAAGGCACGAGATGCATCTATTGAGATCTCGTAGACGAAACGATCTAGCAATTGGATCAGGGAATACAGAGCAAACAGAAGAGCGGTGACCGTCTTCATTGTCACCTTCACAGAAAATACATGGATGACGAGGAGTAGTATTGGTGAGAATAGTGTCGATCTTATTCTCAAGACGGAATACCTTGTTTTTAGTCTCTTGAATGTCATACTTCAGCAAATTAAGAGTAAGACGAAGAAGCAAAAGGGAGAGAAAACTAGTGGTGCACTCCAAGAGGGACCGTGGGAGTGCAAGGATGATATTGGTGAGTATACGGATTATGGCGATTATTATTGTGGGTCCGAAGAAGTATATGAGTAGACCGATTACTGTAAAACCGCCGATAACTGCAGCCGTTATTTTCCAGTGCTTAGTTATCGTGCCAAGAAGAGGACTGATGTCTGGGTGGAGAAATTATTCCACCAAGTCTCCATTGTTGGTTGTTCTTTTGTATCACCTTCGAATATTTCGTGATCTAACGTGGGTGTGTGATAAAAAAGAGTACCAGATAAGTCGATTTTGGAGGTTTTCCCTCCACATCGGAATGAACAAATGTCTTTTACTTCAGCATGATCGTATTGAAGCTTTAGGACATTTGGCTTTGTCTGCTTCGAGCAGCCGATAAGGAATGTTTGGTCTGTGCATTCCAGGGTTATATCGCTGGATGAATCTGAGCGACAGTACACTGTGGCTTTTGCTCCTTCCGAGCAGTCGTAGCACCCTGTTATGCTTGTTGCATGCATGGAGCAGGGAGGATCTACCACCACCTGTGCCATTTGGAATTGGTTTTTTGACGTAACGAGTAATGTTACCTCGGTATCGTCTGTGTCAATCATCACTGTTTCCGAAGCAGTAATGTTTAGGTGAGGCTCTATGGCTGGCAAGTTGGTGGTGGAGTTCTGCGGTTCCTGAAAACTGTTTTGAGGGCAGACGCATTGTGCGGCCGCCATTGTGTGACTACACGAGCAAACCACCTCATTTGAACAATTGGCGAAGTGTTTTCTAGCAGTGTTCTCATCTGGACATTCGACGGCGATTTTGAATGCATCGCCTAGCATTTTGAATCCCGCTGCGGATTCTGCGAAGCGCTTACTTAGAGCGGCATGTATGATATGTTGCAGTGATGTTACCTTGATGTCCCATCCATCTATCATTTTTGACACGTATGGGTGTAACTGCAAGGGATTGCTCGTTGTGGTTCCAGTGAAGGTTGTTTCGAGCGAAATGTGGATTTCAGGATTCCACGAGGCGCACTTGAATATGTGGTATATTGCCTCATTCTTCGGCACTTGCGCAACTCTATAGAACAGGCAGCCTGGAAATGGTGTTAGGCAACCACAAGCACAAGTGGAACTGCACATGGAATAGCCAGGGAATTTTCGGCCTCAAGTAGTTCCGGAATACTTTCATTTTGCTGCAACGTTCTACACTTGCTACCGAGACATGAACCCATGAAGGGGCAGCGTTTTTCGTAGAACACTTTCGCTGAAGTGTCCTCGTGTATAGAACAGCGTCTGTTTGTTGCAAATCTGGCGTGCTCTCTGGAAGGTGAATTTGAGTTTGCCTACTGTGTGGTTTCGGTAGCGCAACATGACGCAAGCTTCTTTATGAAGCTTATTGAAGAAGAGTTCTTGTTCGTACTCGAGGGTGCATATGTTTGTTTCGTTGCATACCAGTTCCTTGCTGTAGTGTGTATGAAAGTGCTGGCAAGAAAGAGATGGAACAGGACATACTGTAAAGCATTTAGCGTGTGGGTAACAAGGGTTGGAGGGGCTGCACCTTGAATCTGGGGGGAGAGTCGCATATCCGAAAGTTTCGATGTCTTTGTTTGTCTGCCCTTCATCGTTGTACGGAAGGTGCCCATCGTTGGCCTGAGCTTGAGCCGGCTGTTTTTGATAAAAACGCCGAAGAGGAGTATCGCTACTAATATCACTGTTGCAAAAGATATTGGCTGTTATAATAGCGCCCTCAGGCCAGCAGTGAGGGGTTTCCCAAAAAGATTGGGTCTGTGTGTCATTTATGTCGGCACAGAATTGCGTTGCTGCCGGCCAGCATACACAGGAGTTGTCTTCAACTGAATATCGCGTCCTGGACTATCGGTCTTAGGCAGAGGGTAACATTCATGGATTCTTCATGTGCAGATGTCGGTAGCACACAAGTTGTTGATGTCTGCTTTCTGAGTTATGCTGCTTACATGCCTTGTTGAAGCACAGGGTGTAGAACTTTGAGGAGGGGGAAACCGTGAGCGTTCCGTTTCCGCAGAAGATTCGTGCAGCAGATAGGTAGGGGAGAAATGATAGTATTAGGTTGTCCCGGAAATGAATGCCGGTTTTTGCCCTCCCTCTTTAAACCAATATTTCTCAGCTCAAACGCAACATTTTCAGAAGCTAAAAAAAAATATAAAAATCTACGCAATCTTTCTTAACATGAGACATTCTGAACTGGTGCTCAAACTCTGAATATGGGAGCCGTAGAAGCGCAAATATCAGCGAAGGTCTCACACCATGTGTCTGTTTTCAATCTTTTTCTGCCCAAGAAGCTGTCGAGATGGCTGAAAAACTGAGAGTTGGTGAGGGTGAGAAACCGTGAGTGCAGATGGGCTGAGAAAAGCAAAGCTATATAGGTTGATTCGTCCTTTTTTTACGAGGTCGTATGTGTGACATGTGGCTGGGCGTCAACATGGAGTATGGTTCTTTCCCCCCTTCTCCAGGTTGAAGACTTCGCT